ACGGCAAATAGCCATTTCTAATGGCTACGAAACTGTAGCTCAGGATAGGTGTAGGGGAAATCCTAGGCCTCCAGACAACACCGAGGTTCAAGGAAAGTCGGTTTCGAAATATTACTACGCTTTGTGCTAGCTGATAACAGCACCGACTTCTGCACGATGTGCGCAATGATACTTCCATGTGATTTCTGTGCGGTTGGTTTCTACGTGACATACTTAGTGGAAACCTCATAGAAAGCGGCACTGAGGAAGGCGAAATCCGCCGAAGCGTCAGCTCATTCGTGAATAAAGAATAATAACACCTCGCGTTTGCTCAACAAAAATACGAAGAATTGTTTGAATAGTAATTACGAAAGCACTCTTCACTGCTTTTTGTGAAAAAAAAGTTCGGTTCGAAGGTCTCCGTAGGTTGGGTGTCTGTTCCTTTTGCAGGTAGGAGTTTACCTGTAATGCATTTAAAGCATACTAAGTTTCCTCAGTAGCGTGATTGCCGAATCCTTCCTCAGATCTTCACCATCCCAGACAGTCGCCTCCCGTGTAGGTTAGAGGGAGATTTGCCACCATGCGACTAGTTAGATACCATGGCGGTTATGATTCCTGGTATTCGTTTAGTCTTAGCTGGACTTCGGTTGGAATATGCCGGACACCTCAGTTTAGGAGGCCCTGCTGGGAGATGAACTCTATGCAGCACATAGCATGCTGACACCCAACAACCATAAGCCGAGGAACCGTTGAGAGCAGCTCCGTATGTTTTTTGAAAAAACAGTATAGGGCGGTAATTTTGCACGAATCACGTAGAATTTTGTCGTGGTGTTTTTCTAGGAATTTTCACGTGGGAGCAGCACTTGTTGGAATTATTTTCAGTTTTGCTTTGTTGTGTGGGTTCTACGCATTATTTTGCAGAGAATGTGAATGGCATTCTGTATACGCATTGTGTGAGTTGTTAAGGTTGAATATGGGTAACTTATCATTGGAAGTGTATTCCAAGTGCTCTAATTTATGGTTTAGTATGAAGTTAATTTACTATGATTGGCCGGTAGATTTTGGAAGAAACGTTTTCTTTCTTTCTCTTTTAGTAAGCTGATTAATATTGTTGTTATTTTGATTCCGACTTTGGATTAATGTCTTTAAACTCTTTGATATGCGGCATTTTTTTAAATAGGTGGTTTTCTACGGTGCCGATTCATTTAGACACCTCTAGTATTGTTGGATCTGACTATTCGGATGATGATGCGATTGGTACTGACATTTTCATGGAAATCAGCGAACATCGTAGAGAAGAAGGAGCTTCAAGTCCAAGTGCTTGTAGTGACAACAGCAAAGTACGTGAGATTTCACCAAGCTCTTGAAATGTACGATTGATGCTAAATAATTTATTAACCAACTGAGAGGGATTTCTATAGGTGGCTCTTCCTCCTAATGTTTTTGTGTGGTTGCCTCAGACGTGTGACATTGAGCTTCTAACGCGGTTTCGAGCTCCTTCACCAAATGCTAATTTTGAGATAGTATTACCATCACCATCGATTGCTTCTTTGGATCGCTCTTTTACAGGTTTGTGTTTTTTTTTTCGAATCTGTGTTTAAAAGAAGGATTTATTAGCAGGTGCTTAATTTACAATCTAAAAATTCATTACAAGAAGCAATGAAAGTCTTCGACGGGTAAATATTGACACGGCAGGCACGGTGCTATGTTCTTTTAGACGAATTGATCTCACCTTTTTGACGCCTTCAAGATCATTCTGTTCTTTCCATTATCGATACCTCAGTCCTGACATATTTCATAATTGTAATCTCACATTCTTGACAACGCTTGTGATAAGTTTTAATACATTGTTTTTCAGCACCGATGCTTGAAGAGGTGCTAGTTTGTGGTGCCTTTGTTAAGAGTTCTAATCACAGCGGAGCCTTCGCATTTAACCGTGGTCCACTGCGTTCTAGGGCGACTCCACTAAAGTGCAATGGTATTGTTGAATTTTATGTTTTGTATGCACTGAGGTAGTTTTAATTTGATAGGAGTTGAATTTTTTAATTAATTTAAATCTCATTGGTCTTTCGTTTCCATCAAATTATGAACCATCAATTTCAGCGTCAATGATTGCTAACAGCTCTGTAGACTGTTGCATCGACAATAAGCTGTGTAACGGATGTTATTGTGAAATTGAATTCAAACGGCATGCTTTTCTACAAGACATTCTTAACTGTACAGGTACTCACTTAACCCTTTATATTCAAGTTAAAATTAGCCAAGAGCTGCATAAATTTGGGTTTACCCTTTCGAATACGAGTATGGATTAGGGTTTTCAATTTTTATTGAAAAATCATGTACCTATAGTGGCTTCAAGTGTGAATACCCGTTGTCAAATTACTGCATTGTTTTTCAACTGTATGTACAATATCACTCGACTTTTAAAATATATTTAGCGCCACAGAGTGTCGAGGTTAATACTTCGCAAACATTCTTCTTTGATGCGACAAACGTTACAGACTTCACGGTTGGAAAGTTGGCCGATTGTTCTTCTATTAGTAGTTCGCATAGTTGTTGTGGTAAAATTCGGCATCTTCCAACTTTTTTTGCTCGCTTTTGTTTCCGAATTTTTGTTTCGTTTTTAGCTGCCAAATGTGTAGATGTCAACTTTTCTTGGGTTTTCGATCTAGAAGCGGGTGGTGGTGCCACTCTGGTTCTCCCGTCCAAGTCACGTCGCAGGACTTCATATCACTGCAAAGGTGAGCACTCGTAAGACATCACATGGGTTTTGTGAAATGCATAAGCACCTACTTGAAATAACGCATTTTGTTCTAGAAAATGGTATATCATTTTTCAGTGTGCATTCGGAAACGGAAGCGAAGGTCGCCTTTGAGCTCTGCGAAGAGATGGAAGCGCAGTGATAGTATGAAAGAATGCCTAATGTTACTTGAAACCGGATCAATGCCAAGTCAAATAATTGACGTTACACCTTCCCTTGTGGACGACGCTGCTGTAAAAATGGTGGGATGGTATTTATGGAATCATTCTGATCTGAAAACTTTTTTTAGCTTTTTCATTTTTCACCCGTTTGTTTATTTGTTTATTATATTAGGCCTTTATCCAAATTTAAAGGCAAGCGACATCATGAGGACAAAAACAATAGATTTTCATAAAGATTTAGCAGTACGAACTTTGAATATTCAAGCAAATTATCTCTTTCACTTTATATCTTAACACGTTCACGAGAATTCCCATTTGGGTGGCAGCCGTTTAATACTACATTTATTTGATCTCAAATTCCACGTATGTTACGCTAACTAAAGTATATGACTTTAAATTAACCTCGACATTGGATTATGAATTCGCTGTTTTCTCTCTCAGCAGTTGCGAGGCTACTAAACAGCATACATTTACTTCCATACAATAACACACAACACAACCGTAGCTGAGGCTTCAGCAGAATCTCCTTCTTAAGAGCCTGGAAGCGTACACTAGTACGCAACTGACCAGGTCAAACACTTCAAAAGCACAAGCAGAAGGTGAAAATCTGCGTGATAATTACAAGATCAACTGCTTCTCGAAAAAGCCCACTTTTTTCACCTGTCTCCCACCGAGGAAGAACAGCCGCTCAGAATCGCATACAGTTGACGACTGCACCTCCCACACTAACGATCGATACGAAAGTACGGGGCAAGATAACGCGTGATCTCGGGGCATTCCTCCTTACTATTCATTGGTGGATTTTTGGCATTTATCCAAAAGGTCTGTTTTAGGATCCCGTGCGGGGATAGTTGCTCTTATGTCAAAATCTCCGCTATGTTTTTGTATCCTATGCGTGCCTAGTGGCGTGTCTTGTTTTGATTTTTGTTTGCCATCTAGGTGTACTTTTATGCAGATACATAGAAGTCTGCCCGTTTCGCCGATATATTCGTCTCCGCTATTATTACAAGAGATCAGGTATATCGTACCTGAACTCATGCTATCACCGTCTCTGCCGTAAGGGCAAGCTGCGCAATTCTGTCTTTCACATAGGCGGTCGTATAAGCGGTTACGAACTGACTGGCGACGAAGAGTATTCGGTGGTATTTCAATTATCGCTTCCGATTCCTCATGATCTGCCCTTCTTAATCATCGCTAATAAAAGGCAAGATAAATGGGATTTTGTTCCGGCTAAACCGTTCGTTTTTGGGCGTCGGGACTCTTCGAAGCTTTTTGGATAAATACCAAAAATCCTAGAATGAATAGCACGAAGGAATGCCCCCAGATCACACGTGATCTCGCCCCGTATCTTCGTACCGATCGTTGATGTGTGGAGGTTGTAACGAAATGGTTAGCGGCGAAGTGTAGCGGTTCAGATTGATGTAGTATATTAGCCACGCGGGTCTTTTAGTTGCTGTGGTTGATCCACCAACCTCAAACTTGGGTAATTAAACTTTTAATACATAAATACAACACTAATAACATGATAGTAACGATAGAGACGTAATGGTAGAGGAATGACACAGGTTAGAGCTATGAGGTGCTAAGGCCTGTAGTGAAGTGAGGCTAAACAATGAGGCAATGGCATTCAAACATTATTATACCATTAACACAATATTAACAATAATAATGAGATTACAACGAAGTAGCCTTTGCTTAGCCGTAAGCGATGCCGCGCCGTGTCTATTCGCGGCCGGCGCGGCGGCTGAGGGAGACAGTATACTGGGGGCGGAGGGAGGAGACTGTATGCTGAGGTGGTGAGGGTTACAGACTGGCCGTGTTTCGGCCAAGCTAAGATTTCAACATTATAGCAATGAGGAGTATTTTAGTGGATCGATGAGGACTGTAAGTTACATGAGCGTTGACGATGCTATGGACAGTGAATGATGAGTCATCTACGGAACACAGTCAGGCGGGTGGTCGTGAATAACGCCATGTCAGCAACGTGAACTTTGAGCATCGATGGGTGCCACCATTGCCTAAGGGTTAAGGGCCAGTATGATAAATGGCTACAAAACTGATAAGCCTATAGCGGCTTAGCAGAATACAGCATAAGTTGGCCGCTTAGCGGCATTGTACACATTGCGTGTACATTGTGGGAGGAATGGTACACGCCACCGATGGCGTTGCAAACAGAACGCATTTGGTAATACCCGCCACTACTGACGTCGCACCGTAGACAAGCTGAGAAATGAGATACAATAATCTGCTGATTGCTGAATGATGAATGCGAATGTGAGAATATAGTGGCGGCTGCGATGGATGCACTTGCGTGGTAGTGACCGTTGAGCCGCTCATTACTTAGTAGTAGTAGTTCAGTGGTGAGAATATTAGGTTGTAGCAAATATGAGATAGTGTACGAACTGTCGACTAGTTGTTGTCTCTGCTTGACTCTCGAAAGTGGATCTGTTTTGTGATCCTTATTATTTGATGGTTCTGCAATATAGGTATTTACCCTTTGACGTCTGAGACGCTGTGAATTGAGAGTCAAGAAATAGGTATCGTATTTTTAGGGTACTACAATTGATCTGTAGGCTATGATTGTAGGCCCAATGAACCAACGACTAGGGTTCCACGTGAGAGTTTTGGCGGTTGACTTGCTCCTTTGAGTTCAGCTCCACGCGGTGTTGATCTGCTAGCTTGGACGAATTGTATTTGCTCGTTCTTCGCCACGCGGGTCTTGTGGTTGTTGTCTTCACAGCGTAAATCTCAAACTTGGGAAATTAAACCGTTTATACCAATATTATAATAATAACAAAAAGATGATACTAAAAAACAGTATAAGTGGCGCGTTAAAAACAGGATTACCAAATAAGCATAAGACAATCAGTAAAAAGATACCTTAAAGTAGGAGAGTAGTTGTATTGGCTATTGTGTTAATATGAGAGAGAGAGCTTTCATATAAAAGTACAATTTGACCTATAGAGGTGAAGAGCATATGGTAGCGCGGGTACCAATGGGACGAGATGGTTGTTAGCGCGAATGGCATACCGTAATTAGCTACCGTACTAGTAGTGAGGAATGTGAAGAGAAAAGACAATGCTTAAGCCAGTGTGGTGTTATCATACAACAAAACTACAGAATATTGCTTAACTCTTGCAGATACAATGTCATGATAAGTATGTATACTAGGGAAGATCAGTGCCTGTCTGAGAGGTTTCCCTACAATAAAGTACGGTAGCACAATTCTATGACAAGAGGTGAACGAAGACGGTATGTGGCAGGAACTGAGATGGCGAGTGGGAGGAAATCGACATGTGGGCCTCACCACCAGACCGCGGTCCTTTTATACTGCCTCAGGGGGCGGGCAGATGGTTACTGTTGTTGACCCTTGCGTCGTCCTCATATATCACAATTATGGTGGCAAATGCATAAACAATATTGTGTTCCATCTGGCATTGAAAGGATATGATATTGTTTATACCAACGTATCCTTTATTCTTGACAACCTCAATTTGTGGGCAGGTGCTGTTTATCGTTGGTGACCGCTCTTATTGTGCTGATAGATGCTAATTATAGTTGGGTGACCCGCTATCGTTGTTGTCGTTGTTGCAGATAATTCCTTGCGTCACATCTGGCTAGACATCAATCATTATCAGAAGATATATAGAATAAAGTTACTACAGAGGATATTATTTCCTACTAGATAATGTTTATTGGTCGACTTGTCGACAGAGAATGAATGTGTTTAAATAAGAATGAATGACTATGACTAAGAATGAGTTGAGGTGGTTGAGGATGATTGAGGATGTGGTTGTGAGGAGCGGATTATCCGCGCTACCGATCAGGGGTAAGGTGAGTGATGGCATGTCCCCGCCGTCGAAGGCACCTGGCTTATATCGGCTGCAGGAGCCGCGAGCGTATGCAACCGCGGTTAATCTGGATTGTTGATCCTGGACCGCAATAGACTGTACCTAACTGCCTGAAACATCAAACGTCATTAGCTTCGTTGTTTCGCAAGGAAGTAGTAAACTGTTCTATGGTTACACCTCCTTCGGATAAGCCATCGTCGCTATGCTACTGAAGTCAAACCTGAATCGCTATTGTGTCTGAAACATTGAACATAATTGATCGAGAAGATTAGAAAAGGTTACATTGCGGTGTTTGATGTGCGAGTGCGAGGCGGCCATATTCGGACTTCAAATACTATTATTTAGATAGATAGAGATCTTTTCAAGGGGGAAGTTCTCTATAGAGGTGAAGTTGTCAACCATATGCCACTCTGAGCGGCTGTTCTTCCTCGGTGGAAGACACGTAAAAAACGGGGGGGGGGAGTTTGAGAATCCGGTGATCGTGTAATTGTCGCTCAAATTTTCATCGTTTTGTTTCTGCTGTTGAAGCGTTTGACCTAGTAAGTTACGTACTAGTGCACCCTTCCAGGCTCTGAAAAAGGCGTTTCTGCCGGAACGTCAGCTACGGTTGTGTTGTATGTGTGCTATTGTATGGAAGTAAACGTATGCTATTTACAATCGCGCGATTGCTGAGAGAGGAAACGACGAATTCATAAAGCATTTGATTAGTTGGGAGCTCGACACGCTTATATAAAAGGCCTAGCTGCATGGATGCAAACGGTATTCCGGGAACAACGTTCTGCCGATAACTTTTCGGTAACTGGAGTGCTGTATAACTTGAGGACTTGAATAGAAGATGCTTTTAATTGTATTCCTATATGAATAAATGGTTATAAAAAAAATGTTGCTGTATGTGAAATTCCTAGCACTAGGACGGTAGCCAAGATTGTCATGTTTCGTTCAACGAAATCCTGAGTGGTCCTATCGAGAAAAGAAAGGGTGAAAATAGAGAAAATTTACGCTCCATGTGGGGTCAAAATTCGATTTCATTGTTTTTTCTTTCAAATGAATTTCGTTATGTTCTGAGGTATGTTTTTTTAAACTGTACGACGGAATCACTTCCGGCCACATTTGCGTAAAGACTGCTTCCTACTTCCCATTCAGCCCCTACCCTATGGATTAAAATCAACTCAAATGTCGCAAATCTTTTAAGAATGTAAGGAACCAAAATTCTTCTAACTTTCCTACATTCATTTTTAGGAGTTCGGCGAATCACTGAACTTCACTGCTATGGATTACGGATTTCAAAGTGATGAGCTAGATCAGACAGTGTTCGAGGACTCAGTTTCTCAAAGAAGCGATCGTTCACATTCTCCTGATCGTTTAATAATCGTGGAAGATTTAGACGCCGAACAAGAACAAAGAGTTCCAAAGGACATTGTTACGGAAGTATCAAGCTGTCAAATGACATCTGTCCGGTTAGCACCAGCTGAACTGAACTTTGAGAACATGCGAACATCCACTGAAGAAATTAGGTCGAATGCAGTTGCTGTAGCTCAACTGTCCAGTGAGAAAACGGGATCAGAATTGGCTGATATTCATGACTTCCAGGTTTCTCACGTCGACTTCCAATCGCAAAAACAAACCGCTTTCTTTCCACAGGAGAGTGTTGAATTTGAAATTTCCCGCAGAATGGACTCTCCTGGAAGTGATGCACATTTTGAATTGTCTGCAACATCAATAAGACAACCATTTTTCGATACTGTAAAGAAAGAAAAATCACCAGTACTTGTCAGAGAGAAGCTGAGAAGGCTTGATCGTAATAAAACGAAAACGCTGGGTGGGGTAACAGTTACCACAGCTCTGGCGGCGAGCAAGTCATCAAACATTCCCACAGATCTGGAATCTTGCAAGTCATCCAAGGTTGTCATAACTTCGGAATCCGGCAGTTTAACAAAGCAAGCTGATATTACAGAGATTGTTCCCAAGAAGAAACAAGGTCGGTGGAGGCGGTTGCATCGTCAGACCTCGGCTTCAAAAGTTGTGGCGAACGAATCGCGAAGCTTGCTTGAAATCCCATACTCCTTTATTCTAACGACTAAGGGCAGTTTACCATGCGACACAACGAATAAACAGCAGACTGTAGGCGACGCGCACGTAAATGCTCAGATAGTTGAGACAATGAATCAGTGTTCTCCAGGAGATCGTGTCTGTGCGCAGATTGAAAGCGTGGACATTGTTGGAAGTCCAACTCAGGATGCTATAGCTACACCACTTCGTGATATTCAGTCGCAAAGTGGTTTGGCTGTCGCACGTATGTTAAATGATGAGTCACTTACCAAGAAAGGGTTTGGAAAAGGTCTTCAATCAGAACACAAAACACCATTTGTTCCATCCAAAGCTGTAAATGTGAACGTTCTGCCGTCCAAAAGAAGCGTCAGAAAGCTTAATCAAATCTCACTTCCGAAGTCAAATAACGACGTGATACCGCCATTTACTTTGGCAAAAGTGTCAGAGACAAATGGATGCTCAAATCAAGGCGTGGACCTGCTTTTAAATGATACTCAATCGCAAAGTGATTTAGCAGATGCATCCATTACAAATGATAAGACAGTACCCGGGACGAGGTTTAGAAGAGTTCTCGAACCAGAAAACGAAGCCGGACGTATTTTATCCGAAGGTTATAATTCGAATGTTTTGCCGTCCAAGGGAAGCGTCAGAAAACATAAGCAAGTCTCACTTCCGAACTCAAATGCAGACGTTTTACCACCAATCACTTTAGCAAAGGTGCCAGAGACAAATGAATGCTCAAGTGAACGCGTGGAGCTGCTTTCAAACGATATTCAATCGCAAAGTGATTTAGCGGATGCGCCCATTACAAATGAAGAGACAGTTCCCAGGAAAAGAATTCGAAGAGTTTTTGAACGAGAAAACAAAGCCGGATGTATGTCATGTGACGGTAAAATTCCGAATGTTTTGCCGGCTAATAACGGTGTCAGAAAGCGTAAGCAGCTCTTCGTTTTGAAGTTAGATACCCCATTATTGACTTCAATAGGAGTATCGGAGACATGTGAATGCTCAATTCAAAGCGGTGGAACCCCTCCAAATGATATTCAGTCGCAAAGTGATTTACCAGTTTCACTTGTTATAAGTGATGAGACAGTTACCAGGAGACGGTTTAGAAGGGGCGCTCAGTCAGAAAACAAAACCGCATGTGTTCCATCCAAAGCTGAAAATCCGATCGTTCTGCCTTCTAAGAGAGCTGTCAGGAAGCATAAGCAGCTCTCCGTTTCGAAGTCAAATGCGGACATGACACCCTTTTCCACTTTAGCGGAGGTATCAGAGACAAATGAATGCTTAAGTCAAACCGTGGAACCTCTTTCAAGTGGTATTCAGTCGCAAAGTGATTTATTAGTAGCGTCCGCGATAAATGATGAGACAGTGACCAGGATAGGGTTTAGAAGTGGTGCCCAACCAGAAAACGAAACCGCATGCATTCCATCCAAAGCTGAAAATGCGAACGTTCTTCCGTCTAACAGAGCCGTCAGAGAACATAACCAACTCTCCGTTTCAAAGACAAATGCCGAAGTAACACCCCCTTTTACTGTAGAGGAGGGACCAGGAGCATATGAATACTCAAGCGATGACGTGCACTTGTTTGCAACTCTTGAAGAGGATTCTGACCGGAGAAGTTTTCAATCAAGGAAACGTCATATGGAGCTAGAAAATCTGCCAAGGTTTTCTAAGCGGAAGAAAAATGATGCTGTAATTGGAGAAACCCCTCGTAGTATGCGAGATACTAGGACTTCGAGATGTGTGGAACGATTGCCAATAATAAGGACTACTAGGAGTCAAGCGGCAACATTGAACTCAGTGTCAACTCCTGTTAAACATGTTTCTACTTCTAGGTATCCATTTTTTTAATTAGAAAATGAAAGGGTGTCTAAAAACACCATTTTTAGCAATTAGTTCCGAAACATTTCTTGCTCGAAATCATCGGCCTCAATTGCTATGAGTCATTTTTTGTCGGAATAATGATTAAGAATTTTTTTGGTAGAATAAATGAAATGTTATAGCAGAGACTCATTCTTAGCCCTTTATGACGAGATGTATTGAGCAATTTCATATTTTTTTGCAACGGAATATGTATAGCGAAGATTCTGTGACATCAAAAATGGGCACTTAAATTTTAAGTTTAATTAGACGAAGTTGAGGCGCCAAAAAAGTGCTGGACAGAAATCGCTCGCAACTGGAGACGTCAACGATGATATCGTTCTTATTAAGAGGTTCGTGTTCTTGTAAATTATCACAGTTACCTCTCCACAGTATAGGTAACATTGCCCGATTACTAGCTTAAACACTAATCTCATTGCTAGTGATTACTGCATTTTACACATCTAACTGTTTTTAGTGGCCATCGTCGTAGCAGATCGTCAACGCCCCCAATTTTGGTGTACGGTTGATTTATTATAGAAATATTTTATGAAAATGAATATTGGAGAGTAGTTGCTTTTTTAACTGCCACAAAATTCTGGTCTTGTCTTAATACTGTTTCGAACTGGTGCACTTCGGATCTACACAAATTGATTTGCAGAGTTGCTGAAAATACTACGGCTTCATTTGTACCAATAAAAATTGACAATAACCGCAGTGCAGAAACTTTTACCCTGCCAACATGTAACTGGGGGGAGGCGATTAAAGCAGGT